TCACACTTGGTAGTCTTGCAACCAGTTATAAAGATCTCTTGTCCGCCTGAACTTTATTTAGGTATATTTCCTGCATATAATGATATCCAATCGCTCAACGATTGCATGATCGCGATGAATTGTGGTATGCCTTCGTCTGATTTTGACATAATGCTGTTGCATCGGTGATGTTACTGTACCAAATAAGTTCTTTTCCAGGATCAACCTGTAGCAGCTGTGGTCATCGCAGACCGCCAAGTTCATAAATTCGTTGAAACACAGATGCAACTTCAGTTGCTTTTTTGTTGATAGTGATTCAGCTTTTTTATATCTACCTGCAACGTCAACAACATCCAACGCGTATTTGTATGTGCGCGATTGACGTTTACCAGCTTTAATAGCATCATGTGGTAAAATAAAATGTCTGCCTGATGAACCTCATTGGGAGTGCTGACATCAAAATACGCGTACTGATTTTTTTAGGTGGTGGCAGATAAATTTGCCATATTGCCTGTCGTGCTAACCAATCTGCAGCAAAAGAACGTGCGACACCTGCTGCATCAGCAAGTTTACTAACTGCTGCTCTAACCCTCCAATATCCTCTTGGGCTATAATAGTGTCCATTAAAATAGTTTTCTATGATTAATTACCGGCCCCTAGCACTAGTTTACCTTTCAATGCAGACCATATCAAAACATAAACAGAGATTAATTTTGTACAGACTTTAGAGTGTTAATCAACTTCACGTCTGCAATATATCGTTGTTGAAGATCTGGATTTTTATACGCGAAACCATGAACGTAGCACAATTAATTGATCGCAATTATTGGATACTATCCAGATCTTGGGTGATCTTTCGCGTTAAGTCGGATTCCAGGACCACAATAATTATATTCAGAAATATGCTTCTAACCAGGATACTTAGCCCATTGAGATTTTGATAATTTTCCCAGTGACGCAACGATATCTCCACCTGTTGCATGAGAGATAAATTTGTATTTTTGTATCACATTTCACACATTTGCTGGTAAATGCACGCTTTTATTCCTCGTCGTTATTGATTTTAATCCATTGGTCCTAGCAATGGATGGGGGTGGGTGCTCTGCATATTTCTACAACATGAATGTAATCGATTTCTCAGCGACACGAAAGCTAGAGCCAATCAAGCATCATTCAGCTCTACCAAATTCTATCAGAACAATTATTATGGGTCCATCAGTGTCTGGTAAGACTTAATTGTTGCTTATCATGATAATGAGACGACTCAAGTGGGATAAGTTGCATTTAGTGGCACCATCTGTTGATGATCAACGATACTACGACATGCTTTAAGATTTTCAAGAAAATGCAAAATTGTTAGACGAGGACGGCAATGGTATTGATTTTATCACTGACATCAATGATGCGTCGCAGGTAGATGATGTCAACGGCGACAATAATAATCTTGTAGTATACGATGATGTGATGCTATACAAACAATCAAATCCAACTCGGATATTTTCCTGAGGCAGACACAAAAACACCGATATTATATATGGTACTCGATATCATATGGATCTCGATAAAAATTTTGGTTGAGAGACCCGTTACTTTTCTTTTACATCCTTGACTTTGTCAAGTCCAACAGCAGGGTTGGGGGAGGGGTGACGGCCAACTGGAATTTTACACCAGGGGTCGGCAAAAAATAAATTTGAAAATACATGCGTCAAAAGAAATAATAACCCGGTTAGAGACCTCGGTTTAGTGGAACCCAGTTAGAGGTCTCGGTTTAGCGTGATTAAAGCTTGTATTTTCATTTTATAGGAAGTTTTATTTTCAAAAACGGACTGTTCTAAAAAAGTGGTCTGTTCAATACCCACCCACCCCTGCAGCGAAGACGGTTGTACACTCTCTTTACATTGGGAGAATTTCCTATTAATATAGTTACGAAGAGACAAAAAAAAATGTTGATAGGGCACAAAGATCATGTAATTACGTGACAGTGTGATGAATAATACAAAAATAATACTCAGAATTAAGATTTAAGTTTTTTTTTCTTCCAAATACTAAGACGAATACTCGTCTTAAGAGGTATTTTAAAAGTTACTTTGTAATAAATTTGACGATATAATCAGAAAAACATTAAACATGTAATGTATTCATTTGAAAATGGTGATTAAGGTACGCCTGAAACGCACGAATACTGGGTATACTGGACAATGAATCAAAGACAGATCTTGCAAGGCATTGAGTACACAAAACTCTGCAATATGCACTAACAAGTTTGAGAGAGAAACAGAGCCTGAGAGATACACTAACAAGTTTGAGAGAGAAACAGAAACTGAGAGATACACATATATAGAAGAACAGAAAGGCAGAAATTTAAAGAAAATATTTTAAAGTTGGTTTAAATCTTTGTCATTTATGGTTTTGCAATTAAATCTTCTGATGACAACTGTTATGAATGATGATCACAGTCTATATATCACAGAAGTATCACAGTCTAGCAATCTCACTGCCCAGTTGACTGAAAATAATCTCACTGTCTGACTAAATAAATGAAATCATAAATATTCTTGAATACAAATTAAAGTGTAATGTTTTCTGTCCAGAGCAGTTCGAAGTTCTGTGTGCAAACTCCATGGTACAACATGATTGTTTAAATCTTTGCTAGAAGACTAAAACGAAGAGGAATACAGCGTCATCTCCTGAGTTATTGATGTCAGCATGATCGGCGAAACTTGTATCTGCAAATAAAAAAAAAAACTTCATATAAAATAATCACCTCTCTCTCTCTCTCTCTCTCTCTCTCTCTCTCTCTCTCTCTCTCTCTCTCTCTCACACACACACACACACACACACACACACACACACACGCGCGCGCGCGCGCGAAATATTATCGATTAAGATCTGCATTGTTTAAACCAAAATATTCAAATTCCTAAAGAAGAAAAAATAAGTAAGACAAAAAAATTAATATTCAAATCATCAATTGGAAACTTGCTTCATATCATGTACCCAGGCAATGATACTGCCTGTCAATACTATAACTGGACTTTGGAAAAAAATAATATCAAATAAACCTAACATTGATTTTAAGACATAAACGATATATTGCCGATACAACCTGTTAATATATGGAAGGACCCAACCCAACAATATGCACATTGATCCCCGTGTATGAACCAAAGGCAGAAATGGTACAGGAAGTAAAGGTGGTATATACGATGTTTGTGCTTGATCTAAATTAATTATTGTTGTGGGTTTAACACATTTCAGAACAAAATAGGTTATACATGGTGGTGGAGGACGAACTCAAGAATTTCCCGGAAGGAACCACCAACCCATGTGCTAAATACGATGTAAATTGGATTTTAAAAAATATTATAACCAGACAACCCCAAAAGTTTTATATTTTTTTTTACATAATGATCTCATCCAAGACCATAAACCAAAAGCAGAAATGGAGCAATCTGATAGGCAAGAGCTTGAATAGGATGCTGTTTTCTTATTGTTGTTGTTGTTGTTGTTGTAACGTCATTTTTCAGCACAATATAGGCTATACATGGCTGACAGAAATTTTAAGCTATTGTATTTTTAATATAATGGTGTTTGCATAGGTTTGCTAAGGAAAAAAAATTAGTACGGTGACTCCTGTAAGTGAAGCTTGAAACCATTAGACTGTAACACATTACCATCAGACTGTAACACATCCTTCAATATTGTTAATTAGTTCAAATAATAAATCTATGTGGGCAATACCTCACTGCATGCAAGTGTGACTATCCCATAACATGTCAACAGTTGGTGAAAGCTGTTGAAAGAGAAGTAAAAGTTGATCTATATTTGTAAATGTATTTACCTGTTTATGAAATACCTTTTAAAACATGTATATAATAAATAAAGGACACGAAAAAAAAAGAAAGGTGTTTGAATCAGGTCCAAACTTGGAGCTTGATATAATCACGATAAGTCTCCGTTTTAAAAATGTTAATTTATTTGCTAGCACTATTCTAATTTAGGAATTTCCAGATCAACAATAAAATTACAAATAAACAAAGAAAAGAGTCACAATAACTGATGATCAGAATTACTGCAAAGAAAATTACTTTCATGTTTCAATATAAAATGCTCAAGCAAACACTTTGAAATAAATTGTAGAAAGTTTTGTTTCAATAATATTATTATCATTCTAAGTATATGTTTATTGGTACATGTGGAGGAACATTGATTCAGCAAAATAATGGCTAAATGATTATGATTAATATTGTAGTTATAGATAAAAATATTTTAAAAAAAACTACCCATAAAAACTTTAGGAAGAAAACCATTTTAATTGTAAATGCAGTAAGGATATAACACAGAAAATATGTAAAAAAAATTAAGATAAATATAACAAACAAATAAAAATAAAATTCTTGTAAGACTGGTTGATGCAGCATTTTACTTAACAAAAACAGTCCTTGCGTCTTAAACATGTTGGACCTAGGAAAGACAAACTAAACAGTCCAGTTGCTGCCACAACAAATAATTTGCACACAGCTGGGAAGAATGGTCAACAAGAGTCTACAATTTTTACAAACTTTGACTGCCTTCTAATGGCAGAAGGATAGGACCGAGGGACATGTCATCTGTAGAATCTGGTATAATCATATCCAGCCAAATAAAAGATCTGCCAGGACTGACCACCTTCTAGTGTCTGATGGGTACAGCCAAATGACTCGTCAACTGTAAAATCTACTAAAATTCATGTCAGCCCAATGGAAGGTTTACTGTGATTAAATTCCCCCATGGATGCAGTGTATATTTAGCCTAGACCCTTGCCAACTGTAGAATCTGGAACAGGAAAAGCTGTCTTGAAAGCTCATTACTGTGAGAGACAACCTGTCTAGAGAGAACAGATACTCAGGTGCATAGATTGACTGATTACATAGTGTTATGACCCATCACAAAAGACCAACTGTCTTGGAAGAACATTATCTTTTAGCAAATGTGGTGGTCTTTCAAGCCAGGTTCTACTGTATGAGATTGTTCACAGAGATGCAGTATCTCAGTTGGTAGAGCACTGAACTCATAATCCAAGGGTTGTGGGTTCAATACCTGCCCAGGCTGCTTGATTATATCTTTGGGAAATGCACTTAGCTTCCATATGTTTGGCAAGATGTAGCCAATAATGTGTTTAAACTACTATTATAAACCAACAAGAACAGTACAACATCCCTGTGATAGACTTGCCAGAGTTAACTGCCCATAGAAAGGAAGGGAAGAGTCACACAATTTGTCAGTTGTAGAATTTGGTACAATCTCACAGCTGGATTTAGTCCTTTGGGGGCCCTGGGCACAGCCAACATAGGGGCCCATAGCTATCCTGTCTTGTCTGTAGATATGGTAACAATACTATTAACAACACTGCTTGTGTTCATAAAATACATATGCTGTTACTAACTGTCCATAAAATACATATGCTGTCACTGTCCATAAAATACATATGCTGTCACTAAGTGTCCATAAAAAACATATACTGTCACTAACTCTCCATAAAATAAATACCCTTTTACTAACTGTCCATAAAATATATATGCTGTCACTAACTCTCCATAAAATACATACCCTTTTACTAACTGTCCATAAAAAACATATACTGTCACTAACTCTCCATAAAATAAATACCCTTTTACTAACTGTCCATAAAAAACATATAATGTCACTAACTCTCCATAAAATAAATACCCTTTTACTAACTGTCCATAAAATATATATGCTGTCACTAACTCTCCATAAAATACATACCCTTTTACTAACTGTCCATAAAAAACATATACTGTCACTAACTCTCCAATAAAATACACATGCTGTCACTAACAATCCATACAATAAGTACTTTCATTAATTTTCCACACATTAAGACTGCAGACTCCCCTTATCAAATACACAAAGAAATCTGCATACTGGTGAGTTAATTTTTTAGAATGAAAAAAATTACTAAGGTAATCCTGGCTTTTGGCAAGAGAAAGCCTGTGCTACCAATTTACAGCAGGCCTTAAATTGTGAAAGATTTCCAAAGGGATTATAAACTTTTAATTGGTTTCATTTCTTTAACAGGACTGTTATTGCAGTTTTTACAGTTGTGAAAAAAAGTTTTGATTCCCTTTTTAATAAAAGACAGCCAATGCAACCAACTCATTTTACGTCTAATCTAAATTCACTGCTGAATGAAATCTGCAGTAAGTGTTCATTTTACACAAGCAGACTACCTTAAACTGGACCCTCAATAACACTGTGTAAAGGCCACATATTGCAGACATAATATGACTACTTTAACACTAAGCAAACCTATTTATACTGATCACCTCTATAAACCAACTCAATGTTTCCCATTTGTTTGGTTTAGGGAAATTCTACTGTATATAAAAAAGAAACATCAAAACTTCTAAAGTTTGTTAGCCATTTATGATAGTCCTGTGTAGCAATGATCAATTCTGGAAAAAAAGTTTTTGAGGATAGTTCTTTTGAAATTTTGATTTTAGATTTGGTGGACATTTAAATATTGTTAAGTTTGACATGGTGGCCACACAAACCAGACTTGATAGTTCAGGATGTCATTTTCAAGAGCTTAACCACTGTAATAAAACTTGTACAATTTCAGTTATGGACTGAACATTTATAGGAAACGTGTTGGGGTTGTGGAAAAAAATTACAGTTTGTAAATATCTTGAAAAAAAAATGTCCTTGCTCTAATTTAGAATAAGAAAAAACTATTTCAGTGATTTTATTAGTTAAAAAAAATAAATTATGTTGAAGTGAAAGAAACAAAATATCCAAACTCAAAAGAAAATCCCAAGTCCCATCTCCCAAAAACTAAAATGGTCAGTCCTGATTTCTCAGTAGTTTATATTTACAGTTAGCTGACCATTCCACTGTGAAAGCCTGGCCCATTCATTATAAAAATTTTATTTTTGCTGCATCTTACTCAAAAACAACTCAATCAAAGGGTCTGGCACTCTGCTGGACCAAAATCATTTCTAGGAATTCAAGATAAGAGCATTTCTTCTTTTAGCTGATTTGTGTTGAAACCATCTCTGATATTCTTCAGTGTGAACAAAATTTTCAAATCAACTGTTGCTAGGTCAGTACCATTTTCATTCAGGACCAAGTAGACATCACCAGAATTTTGTTTTAAAAAAATCCCATGTCACAATGACAATCCGTTTAAGCGAGTAGTGACAGCAAGAATTTCAAGACAGCCTCAGATGTATGATTTGCATCATTTTCATTTAGGACCAACTAGGCACCATAACAAGTATATTGATGAAAACCCCGTTTGGAAGTAACATATATACGATGTTTTTAAGACATGGGTCAGTTTTCATCATTTTCATTTAGGACCAACTAGGCACATAACTAGTATATTGATGAAAACCCCATGGTCAGTTTGCATTATTTTCATTTAGGACCAACTAGGTACCATAACAAGTATATTGATGAAAACCCCATTGGTCAGTTTGCATCATTTTCCAAGTATCTCAGTGATGGTAAAATATCTGACGAGGAGTTCGCAACGATAATTAAAACCTACGATGAAGCATTATGAATCGTTAGTGATTCTGGTGACAATAACCAAAGTAAAATAAATGGATAATTAAACAATAATAATAACAATAATGTCAGCATCTGAACATCGTTCGGATACTGAGTCCATTTAGGACCAACTAGGTACCGTAACAAGTATATTGATGAAAACCCCATTGGTCAGTTTGCATCATTTTCATTTAGGACCAACTAGGCACCAAAAGGTATATTGATGAAAACCCCATGGGTCAGTTTGAATCATTTTCATTTAGGACCAAAAGGTACCATAACAAGTATGTCGATGAAAATCCCATGGGTCAGTTTGCATCATTTTCATTTAGGAACAACTAGGCCCCATAACAAGTATATTGATGAAAACCCCATTTGGAAGTAGCAGATATACGATGTTTTCAAGACATGGGTCAGTTTGCATCGCTTTCATTACGATACTCTTGACACCAGAAGAACTCCAGCAACACAAACTCTTCACAAAATTACTTTCTATTTAAGATGAGTAGCCATTTTCAAGAATTTCAATATTGGACATCAGATCAGCATCATTTTAATTCAGGACTAAAAATACACCATAACAAGTGTGCATGTTGACAAGACTTTCCATACTGAAGAAGTAACAAGACAGCTGCAATGGTGGCCACAATGGAAATCAGATTCACACTAATCTTTATTTAGTACCAACTGGACATCATAAATAGCTGACATGACCAGCCATCTAGTAGAAGTAGCAATTATAAGATTGTAAAGAGGCCCGCTTCACAATAAAGCACCATTTTCACTCTACAACCAACAAAACATCATAAAAGGTCAGTAAAAAGCCTCTGCTAATGTGACCATTCATTCAAGAAAAGTGGTAAAATTGACATGATGGCCATTATGGTAGTAATACTGGATGTCTGTAAGGTACCATTTTCATTTAGGGCCAACTAGACATCATAAAAAGTCTTGGGGTAAAAATAATAAATAAATAATAATAATAAATAATACAAGTATCCATTTAAGTGTAGTGATAACAACAATCTCAATCAGGCCACTGTGGTGGATATACAGATGTGTGAGTAGCACCATTTTCATTTAAGACTTCTAGGACTACCTGGACATCACAAGAATTCTTCTGGTGAAAACTTCATGTCAATTCATGTATGCCATTTTGTTAAAGAGAAGAAGGGATAACAAGATTTGCAAGAAGCTGCTATGGCAACCATGCTGGAGGGCGCCATTTTTATACAGTACTAAGCTGATATCATGATAAGTCTTTCAGTGAAACCCTCTGTTGATACAATACAGTCAGGAGGAGGTCAAGACTGTAAATAATAGACATATTAGACATAAATTTGCCACCATTTCAATTTGGGACCTAACATACATCATTTAAAGTCCTCAGCTGAAATTCCCATGTCAATATGCCTTTCTATTCAGGAGGTGAAGTGATAACAAGGTTTCAAGTTGGCCATATTGGATGTCAAATCAGAAGCATTTTCATGTGAGACTAAGAGGTGTGTAAAGTTTCATGGCAATTAGTCCAAGTAATTTATAACAATTTTGTGCCAACGTATAGACGGACAATGCACCATCATATAAGTTCTTACTGTATAAAAAAACAGTTTAACTTAAATGTACTATTATTATACATCACCGAGTATAATTAATTACCAATAGTATTAGCATTATCATCACTAACATTAACATTCGTCCAAGCGATTTAATGGAATATAACAGTAATGAGGTGGGGAGGAGGAAGGGAGATATTTCACATACTATGACGGAAAACGAATGAATTGGAGGTCATTTGACGATGTTTTCTCAAACTCAAAATGATATACATACACATATTCAATAAGCAACACATAAATTGCTATTTATATAAAACCGAATAGCCGCTATCTTGTCAAAATCGAACAACCATGGAAATAACTCATGAATCCATTCATACTGGAGATAATTTTCCAAAAATTAATATAATATAAACAATAAAGCGGGAATCACCAGACCTGGTTTGAAATACCTTTTTGTACCTAAACACGTAGCACCACTCCCGTAAAAGATTATGAGCTAAATATTTCATCTTCCGCTCGTTTGGCCATATCCTTGAAGAAATTTCTCTTCTTTTTCAAATAGTTCATTCTTACAGTTTTCAGTCTGTAACCGACATACACACCAGCAATAAATGCCACTCCTGCCACAAATATAAGTTCCGTAGACCTACTATATGTCATGCTGTACGAAAATAGGTAACAGTCAATGTGTTGCTTACTATATAATTCACCTAATGGAATCAAGTACGCCAAGTAGAACTTCATGTCATCAATTTCATCAGTGAGAATTAGACGATTTCATTATTAAAAGATTATTTTTCTCTGATAAAACCATTGTCATAGGTAGTAAACGTGGAAACAGTGTCGTTCCTGATATGTTTTATTTCATCAATGATGCTTATTTATGACCCGGCGAAAATAATGCAAACTAAAATCTTTTACAATTTATAAGCTGTCATAAATAAACTGACTATATTTTATAACATAATAAGATA